ATACACATACATACATACATACATACATACATACATACATACATATATTTGGCAGGATCCCCAGGACCCAGGAAGAATCTGAAGGGAGAATTGGAGCCCATAGAAAAAATCAACAATAATTTAGTTTCTTAAAAAAAAGAAGAAGAAGAAGGCAGGGATGAGCATTTCAGCAGAGGCATTAGTGTGTGCAAGGTGGGGCTGTAGGAGGAAGCCTGGCATGTTTGAAGAGGGATGGGAAGAACCCAAAGCTCAGGTGGAGAGGTAAGTGGGGGTGGGGCTAGTTGGTGGCAAAAGAGGCAGGCAGGGGCTACATCATGAAGTAGTTTGTTACTGTATGATTTCCTGACTCACAAAAAGAATCAAGCATTGCTTATTTAACCTTAAAAAATGAAGTACAGGGCCGGGAATTTAGCTCAGCGGTTCTTCCGCCTGCCTCACAAGTGCAAGGTCCCGAGTTCGAACCCTGGTACTAAAAAAAAAAAAAGAGAGAGAAGTACAAATAGGAATGGTTCATTTGCCAGACAGAGGTACTGATGCAAAAGGAAGCACCATGTGTGACCATGGGACCTTTCTATGTTTCACCCTTCAAATCAAAGGGAGGAATGACTGCTGGGAGGGCACCTGCCTGACACATCCCTGTCCAGTGACCTGTCCCACTCCTAGGGACCTGCACTGTTTCTACTACATCAGTTCCCAGAGTGTTCAGGATTATTGATAAACAGCATGGCAAGGACAGACCAGTTGTTATTTATCTTTTTATACCTGCTCATACCCATCACAGTGTTTGGCATATAGTGGGTGCTAAGTGTTAGCTAACTGCTATAAAAAAGAGAAGAGGTAAGGCAGGTTGGGGAAACTAGTTCCTACATGTTGAAAAAAGTCACAATTCTCAATACTCTTCTGAGACCCTTACATATATCAGTTGATCCAGTCCTCAACAAAGAAACCGAGGCACAGAGAAACTTAAGTTGCCAAGGTCATGAAGATAGAAAGTGGCAGGGCTGGAATTTGAATGTGAACAGTTAGTCCCAGAATTCATGCCATTAATCACTCCTCTATCTTGTCTTTCAATAAGTATTTTTGGTTCATTTTTAAGATTGCATTTTTGCTTGAAATTGTAGAGTATCACCATGAGAAAAGCCATAGGCAGGAAGGGTCATGTAGCTGTGCCTTAATAGAGCTTGTTTTGGCAGTGAAACTTCAGAAGGCATTCCTTCTGATTTGGAAAACCAGGTGTTTCCATCCCATATAATTTCTGACTCCTCTTTTTAGATGTTCTTTCTCATGTAGCATCCCACGCTTGCCTTGTCATCAGTGCCAAACCATCTACCTGGGGGACTACAAGTTTGAACATGCTTGGAGCTGTGCCAGTTTTAGTGTTTCAGTCACTGAGTCCTCCTACAGTCTGACAACTCAAGTAGGCTCTTTGACATGGCTTTTTAGTAGCTCTTCATTCATTTATTCATTCAACCAATATTTATTGAGCCCATGCTCTGTGCCAGTTGTCCTAGCACCAAGCCACATGCTAGGTGTTGGGGACCAAGCTGTGAACACAGTAAAGGCCCTATCTTCATGAACCTGACTTTCTGGAGAGGAGAGGTAGGCTATAAACAAGTAAATAAGTCTATGCTGTGTTGGGGTGGTAAATGTTAAGGAGATCCATCTAGTAAGGTGAAGAACACAAAGGGAGCTTGTTACCATACATGACTCAGATGAACAGGAAAGGCTTCAAAATGATGAGTGAAATTTGAGCAAAGACCAGAGAAGCAAGGAGGTGATCCAGATTCCTGCAAAGGGAATGTTCACGGTCAGGCTTGATGTGCAGGGAGCACCAAGGTCAGTGTGACTTGTGAGAAGAGCATGAGAGAAAGAATCATAGGAGTCAGTATTAGGAAAGTATTGCCAATCCAGAGAGAGCTTGAATGGACTCTGGCCTTTCCTATGAATGAGATAAGAAGCCAGAGCAGAGGAATGAAATGGTCTAGCTTATTTTAGAAGATTGTGCGGCTTCTGTGATAGCTCTTTTGGTGCCTCATGAAAGCTCTTTGTAGTCTTAGAAATTCTCACCTCCAGGGTACACCAGTAAAAATGGAACTTTAACCTTGAGGAAACTTGTCTGCAATCTGAAGGAATTCTTCATGAGCAAAGGTCATGTTCCAGGAATGCTAGAAAACAAGGGTAAAGGACCCAGCTTCGTCCCCTATGGAAATTCCCATACAATGTGAAGTAAGGGACCAGAGTGATGCAGTGGAGCAAGCACAACAGGCTGAAAGAACATGAAGCTGGGGCCCTGTGTTAGACATGCCAGGGCATCAGTAAGGTTACACTGATCAAGTGCTAACCAGGCAGAGGAAGAAGAGAAGAGTAGTCTGCTTTGATATAAAGTCTTACAAACTAGCTGCCATAGTCTCGTCTGACATGATCCAGTCTGGGACATGAGCCCTGCCTCCATCTGTAGCACACGAGCCTCTGAAGAAAGCTGTGCTAAGGTTGGGTGCTCCAGATCTGGGCATTGTCTGTGCTTCTGTGGTGCTGGCTGGTAGTGGGGGAACAGAAAGTGTGGGCTCAAGCCTTCCACAGTCTTCACACTGGAAATTCAAGTTTTCTTCTCTGTTGATATTAAGATTTAACTTGTGTAGGGAATATTACTATTTTTTTACCCAGTTTCTCCTTGTTCTTGTCAAGATAGTACTGCTTAAAACAAAGTTTTGATAGGCTCTTTCTTTCATCTTCATCACTCTATGAGAAGTAAATATAATTGAGGTGAACCACAGTGAGAGTCCTGTCCTCAATCCAGCAAATAAAATGGGCCCCAGGTGACAAGTCTGTGGAGCAGTTTCTTTTTATGCAGTGCCCGTAATTCCACATACCTGAGCTTTGAGGCTTGATGTAATTTGTTACCAATTTTGCCACCATCGGTATAGGTTCCTAAGTCTGAAGGCTCATGCAGGATAAGGGTGAAGGGTGTGTGGACACTTGAGATGAAGACTTGGCGGATGTTCTAGGAAACCCCGAGGAAGCTCAAGAAACTGCCATGGTTTCTTTCCTGGCACATCGAGTGAGTAAGCTGAGCTCATAATAATTATTAATTACACTGCTTTTGCTATTAAGGCTTCTTAGTTCACAGATGGTCTGGTTTTAGACATAACAACAGACAGACCAAATTTTAACAAAGGAAGCTTTAGATACAGTTGGAAAATTGAAGCCATGCTTCTTTGATACATAACTCAACTCTGGTACTTTCTTTCCTGAAATTTGCCAGCGTCATTTTTGGGAAATTTTACCACTTATATTTTCTTCATTTTTATAATTCTGATTATGCTTGATGTATGCCAGCTATTTAGGGAGTGTTTTTTCCTTATTTCTGTTGGCTCCCACAATGTGTTAAATTGCTTAAACTTCTCAATGTTTCTAAGGCAGCCATCATCTTTCTTCTGTATAGCTTTCAGAAATGGATATGACTTATATGATTTAGCAAGCAAAGAGAAAGCCTTCCATGGTATCATTGCTGAGTATAATAGGTACATTGACCCTCACTCAGGGCAGGTGTCACAAAGATTACACAGAATAGGTTTCTGCCATCTGGGAGGGCTTACAAACAAAGAATAGAAATATTATACACACAAAAAAAGTATTACACCAACTCATAAATTAGTAAACACCTTACATCATCTACGTGTCATTCTTCAAGGCTTTTAGGGATAAGAGACGATATTCAGTATGTCCTTAGGGTTGGCAGTGAGAGACTAGCAATGGAGTGACTTGTTCAGATTGGGTACCTGCAAGAGAGTAGCCTTGCTCCCTCCCTGTGCCTAGTGTTAGCTTAAGGGTCTGACCCACCGGCCTGAAGGAGAGCTGGACACAGTGCTTGATCTAGGCGGAAAGAGGCTCTTTTGACCTCTGCGTGGTGTCCACAAGACCATATTAAAATCCTGGTGCCCTAAATACATTTTGCACAACCATTTTATATTTCCTAGTGTTTAAGGAAGGTTTGTGAACCTCTTCTGTTCTCAGTCTTCTTCCTGATTACCTAGGGTGGCTCATTGAAGTTGGACTTGAGATAATCTAGCATGTAAGTCACTAACAGCTAATAGGAAGCAGGAGATCATTCTAGCTGATCTCAGCCAGGCTTGTAACAACCAGCTCCTCTCAGCTGTACCTTCAAGGTGGCACAGGGATTCAATAGGCCATGAAGGGAAAGTTCTTTTCTAGTCAGGATGCTTCTGTCTGGATATTCTGATTATGGAACTAATACCCGACAGTCAGAGTTGGCCTTCCACTGAGAAACTGAGGGAAAGGGTCACACTCAGCATAGTGAGGCTAAACAGGGGGGTCAGAGAGAAGGTACTGACAGGGTTCTAGAGCAGGAAGCTTTTTACTGCCAAATTAGAAGCATGAGCACCAAGCTAAACCTTGAGGGAACAGGCAAAAGCTTGGGAGCCTCTGCTCATGACTTAGCCCTGGGCTGACTTCAGATATTAGCTATCAGACTGTATGAGCTAAACTTTCTTGTGTTGGGCCAGGGATTGAGCTCAGTGGTTCCTCCACCTGCCTCACAAGCACAAGGACCCAAGTTCGATCCCCAGTACCAATAAACAAACAAATAAACAAACTTTTTTGTGTCAAGAAAGACTCCAGGGCTGGGGACTTAGCTCAGTGGTTCTGCTACCTGCCTCACAAGCACAAGGTCCCAAGTTCAATTCCCAGTACCAGAGAGACAGAGAGAGAGAGAGAGAGAGACTCCAACCTAGCTCTAGCTTGTTTCTCTGACTTCAGCTCTTACCCTGTAAATACTAAGCCTGAAACTCAAGGTAGCTATTATATTGTTGCCTATTTGGAGATGGTCCAATGAATTCCTCTTAGGACTGAATTGCTTCTACTGTTAATGCCAGAGGCATAGGAGCCAGTGCTGGTCTCAGAGTCAGGGTCTCAGGTCAAAGGCAGATCAGAGTCAGGGTCTCAGGTCAAAGGCAGAAGCAGCTTCCTGGGTCTTATTGAAAAACAGCCCCCATAGGGACAGGGGTATAGCTCAGTGGCACTGCACCTGCCTTGCAAGCACAAGGTCCTGAGTTTGATCCCCAGTACAGAGAGGGAGAAGGAGGGAGGGGGGAGGGAGGGAGGGAGGAAAGCACAGCAAAAAAAGAAAAAAAACAGCACCCAATGAGTTAAGCCTTTCTGGGATTTCTCTTTCCTTACAAGCTGCAAGTTTGTCTAATAGATGGACAACTTGATTAAATGCCAGTGCAGCACAGATGCAATTATATTTAAAAACAAGCACTTTCTTCTAATCTTTCTGCCATTACTGATTAATTAGATACTTTGAACTATGCCCAACTGTTTGAAAGCTGTGAAAAATACAACCTGCATAGTTAAAATTTCTGTACCAGCCTATTCCCTCATTTGTGCCTGTATTCACCATTCTTTGAATGTAATATATATTTATACATGTTTCCAAACACACAATCTGGTTATTTTCTTATCATGGTTAGAAATTCCTCTACTGCTGGTGAAAAAATACATACACACAGAAAATCCAGCTGGGCATGGTGGCGCACACCTGTAATCCCAGCACTCAGGAGGCTGAGGCAGGAGGATCACTGTGAGTTCGAGACCAGCCTGGGCTACATAGTGAGTTCCAGGTCAGTCTCAACTACATAGTGAGACCCTGTCTCAAAAAACAAAACAAAACAAACAAAAAAAAACAACAGAAAATCCAATAACAGTCCAGGGATGTAGCTCAGCAGCACGTCTACCTGGCAAGTGCAAGGCCTGAGTTTGATTCCTGGTACCAAAAATAAAAAGACAGAAAATCCAATAACAAAAGTATCTGAGACACCAATTGAATAATTCAGATGTACCTTCGGGTTATTGCTGCTATACGTTTCATTTGCAAAAGTTTTTCTAGGTGGGTATGGTGGTGCACACCTGTAATCCCAGCACTCAGGATTGCTTCAAGTTCAAAGCTAGCCTGAACTACAAAGCAAGGTCCTGTCTCAAAACAAACAAAAAAAAAAGCTATGTGTTTTTCTTTTTCTTTTTTATTTTATTTTATTTTATTTTTTTGTACCAGGGATCTAACTCAGGACCTTGTTGCTTGCAAGGCAGGCATGGTGCCATGGACTATCTTTTCTTTCTTTGCTTAGTGTCCCTACAGTGGGACACATAACAGTTTTTCCCACTTTTACGGAGATAGTTAACTGTTTAGTTTTTTTGTTTTTTGGTACTGGGAATCAAACTCAGGGCCTCATGATTGCCAGGCAGGCACTACACTGCTGAGCTACATCCCCAGCCCGCTTAACCTTTGAGCTTATCTTTTTTGAGATGCATATTATATACATATATTCCTTCCTACTCTTTGACCTTCCTTCTGAATTCCAAAGCAGATTTTGTCCTTTTTGAGAAATCCTAGACTATATCCATCTCACCTTCTTTATCGACGGTGAGGAAACTAATCCACCCCTCTCTAACCCAAATTGCTCTTGATGAATGTGTAGTAAGTGCAACATAGTTGAAAGGCTCAGGTAATTGTGCGATCCTGATTTTTATTGACTTCTTCCCTCACCCTCCTAGGTGACAACTTGCCTGATTGCTGTAGCTAAAACAGACAGTGAAGTTCAAGTGCGCAGAGCTGCCATCCACGTGATTGTTATGCTGCTTCGGGGACTCAGCCAGAAAGCTACTGAGGTAAGTCGATGTGTTTCCTACCTCTTTGTCTTCAGTCTTCCTTTACCAGGGCAGGCTCAAACCTTTTCCCTATATAGCCTCATGTACATGAATCAGTCAGCAGGGATTTTGCACTTTGCATCTTCAGTAAAAGTCTCTGTTTCCTATCTAACATATTGGGCAACTACCTAGTAACTGCTGCAGAAAAACCAAACATGTCTTTACAGATTGAGGTTCTGAATTCTGACATTGTCCAAACAGGCAGGTTCCAAAGTGAGCTACCTGAAATACATTAACTCACCTCTGCTGCCTGAACTCTAATGACTTGCTCTCCTGGCTCATTTCATTGTTCATGCTGAATTACTGAAGAGCTTCATTTAAGATGTTTCCTTCCTAGCTCTTAATTCAATCCATGAGATTTTCATTGCTGCATAAATTAAACTTTATTCCTCAAGTGGATTTGGCTGGATTTCTACTACCTGTATGTCCAATACAAGAAGAAAAAAAAAATATATATATATATCCATATATATGCTAAGAATGAGTGATCTCAAAATTAATTTTCTTCTTGATTTTAATGGAAACTCATTCCTAGTTGACTTTAAATGGAGAGTTTGCATTAATAATTCACTTCCTGTTATCCACAGTGATCATCTGTGGCCCACACATCAGTATTTAACCAAGATTTCAGGGGAACCATGTAAGAGTGATCGTTTTGTAACACAGGCCTTATTCATGGTAGAATTTTACCATATCCAGTTCCTGGTACCTGTTTATACATGCATGGACTGTTAGTTATCCCCTTCCTTCTCTGCACAACCACATTTTCTCTGTAAATGCATGCTTGCTATTGTTTTAGCTTAGCAGCTAGGCCATTGAATCTTCAAAAAGCTACTTCTCTATCCTTTATCCTCAGCGGCATTTCCCTTCCTTCTCATCTGCTTGTGTAGGTTAAGGTTTGGATTGAATGACTTTATCTGGTCTGAACAAGTTCAGCCTCAGAAAACTATAATGACCTAAACAAGTTAAAGATTTGTTTTGCTCGTATCACAGGAAACACATAGGGAGGTGTTGTTTGTTTGTGGCTCAGAATAAACAGAGCCAGTATTTCTATAATCCTCATGGCCTTTGTCTCATGGTTACAGACAGCTGCTGCTGTGGCCGTTATAACTAACTTAAATGAATAAGAGAGAAGCTGGGAGAATGACAGCTCTAGGTACTTTTATATCCTTTTCTGAGGAACTAGAACAATTTCCTGGAACTCCCAGCGCTAGCTTATGTTTTATTGGCCAGAAGAGCCACACATAATTAGTTATCACTGCAAGCAGCCCGACAGTGTATTTAGCTGGTATATTGCTGTTCTGAACAAGATTGAATTCTAGTTAGCAAGGGAGAAGTCAGGAAATGGGTATTAGAGAGCTGACTAATAGTGACATGAAGGGGAATGAGAAAGAATGATGTGGCTTTTTCAAGGAGTTCTGTAAAGATAGAATTGCTTAGTAACTGTGAGCTCTCACCTGGAGGCATTGAAGGTTCCAGATTGTTATCTAGGACTTTGATGGGAATAGGGGGTACAGGTCATATAGATCATAACTTGATAATTCATATAGTTAAGTGAATTGCCGTAGAGCACACTGCTCTTCTTGAAAATCTGCTGTATAAGAGGGAGTCAAGAAAGATGAGGGGATTTCAACACATGGTTAAGATCTACACAACTCTTAGTAAATATATCATTGTATCATTGTTATATAAGTTTTTAACAACTGAGGAAACTGGGTGAGAGGAGTACAGGGGACTCTGTACTATCTGCAACTTTTCTGTAAGTCTAAAATTATTTCAGAATTAAAATGTACTTAAGAATATAAGTTGCAACACTATTAAAGAAATTTACAAAGGACTGGGGATTTAGCTCAGTGGCACCGTGCTTGCCTCTCAAGCGCAAGGTCTTGAATGCAATCCCTGATACCATTAAAAAAAAAAAAATTTCCAGGACTTTGGGACTGGGGATGTAGCTGCATGGTAGAGAACACACTTAGTATGCACAAGGCCCTGGGTTGAATCTCCACCACCAAAAACCCACTGTAAGTGCACACATCCTTACTGAATGAGAGGGAAGGCATGTGGTGATGAGAGGGGGTATATATGCATATAAAGTAGCGCAAAATGTTTGGTTAGCAAAGTGAGCAAAGAAATACAAAGAAATTCTATGCAGATTTCTCACATCTGTGTAGCCAGTGAAAGCAACACTGCTTGTCTCACCAGTACTAAAATAATTTGTGTCCGTGGAAGATCTTGTCACTTTCAAAAAGCTATGTGAATGAAAAACCTCCCTTTTATTTTCCAAACCATCTGTAGTCTGCACTCACTGAAACCTGAAGATTGTGCTTACTCAGGGAAGAAAGAAAAGGAAATGGGATGGGATGAATGTATGATTCCTCTGTCTAGTGCATCCTTGAGACCAGGTGTGTTAAATCTTGTCATTGTAGGTGTGATTATAATCAGGGACTCTTCAATGAGAAGTGGAGATAACCACAAGCTTTCAATCTTGAATTTCTCTTTATAGCTCTGTTTTGCCCTTAAGAACAGCTGAAATGGAAGTGCTACTTTGTTGATGAAGTTTTGTCTTTTTTTTTTTCCCCCCCGCTTTGATGAGTCTCTCAAACTCTAGAGTGCCAAAAGCTAATACTGAGTTTCATTAAATTCTCTCTTGCTAAGGGATGTACTGGCCAAGGACCTCTGTGGTTATGGCAGCTTGAAAGGGAGGTAGAAGAGATAGGTTGGAGTCAAAAGGGAAGACATCACCAAATCCAACTCATGAGGTAGTTTTTACCTCTTTCTCACTTGAAAGTAGCCAGATTTCTCTATAATCAACACAGTATCCACAATGAAGGAAAATCTCATCAGCATTTCTTATTGAGAAACCTATTTTCTCTGCTTAGCCTTATTTTAGCCTTAGGACTGTATCTGATTGTTGTATAACCTGAAGTTTAGTTAAAAACCGGAAGGAACTTTCTTTGAACCCATTCTACCTTATCCTTGCTGAAAAATAAATTTATTAAGAATAGCCAGAGAGGGCTGGGGATTTAGCTCAGTGGTTCCAGTGCCTGCTTTGCAAGTGCAAGGACCCGAGTTCAATCCCCGGTACCAAAAAAAAAAGAATAGCCAGAAGAGGAAACATGTACAGACCTGCACTTTGTGTTGCCCTCACAGTTAAGGATGGGCCCTTTCTAACACCAAGAAAGTAAGCTAAGCAACAGAATAAAGAAATTGTGCTTAATCCTTCACTCTTCACAAGTTTGATCTTTGTACAATATTTATTTATTCTATATATTATAAATGTTTAGAACATCCATTCATAAATTCATTCCAAAAACAATAATCACTAATAGTTGAACACTAGTTTATCAGACTGGCCCTCCAGATACCGTCTGTCAAGTTTGGACATAATATAATGAGCAGCTACCTGAAATCACTGGAGAGGAATTAGAAGTAGGCAGATTCTGAAGGGTAGGCCTGGGATTTAGCTCAGTGGTTCCAGCACCTGCCTGGTAAGCACAAGGAGCTGAGATGGATCCCCGGGACCTAAATAAATAAATAAATAAACCCAGTAATTCGATTCTGAAGGGGAGTCTCAGCTTAAAGGAGAAGTGATACATTCTGTGAGCTCCCATTTTCTTAGCTTTTATCCTAAAGGCAAACTTAAAAGGTTATTTGGCAAGGAATGCAACCCAGTAAGAGCCCTAGTAGAGATCAGTCTTGCTGGCCTGGGGAACCAGAAGGTAGAATCAGGGAAACCACATCTTCAGGAGAAAGAGGAACAGTGCTCGAAGAGAAAGGTCCTGAGGGAAGATTCACAAATTCTCCCTACATCTCTGGCTAACCTGTGTATCAAGCAAGATAATTTCTTACTTAAAAAATAAAGCCAAGCCTGGTGTAGTGACATATGCTTTTAATCACAGCACTCAAGAGGCTGAGACAGAAGGATCCACCACAAGATCAAGGCCAACCTGAACTACATAATAAGACTGTCTTAAAAAAACAAAAACAAGGATAGGGGATATGGCTCCTGGCAGAGAATTTACCTAGCATCCAAAAGGCCCTGGATTCAATCCCTAGTACTATGAGAGAGAACGAGAGAAAGGGAAAAGAAGAAAATACTCATCGGAGAACCAAATCCGCAATTTCCATAATTTAGCATTTATAATATTTAGAATATAATACAAAATTACACAATATATGAAAAAATTGGTAAAATGATATATATTCTCAAGGAAAACTAAGACAAACCCCAAGATAATACTGACATTGGAATTATCAAAGATTTTAAAAGATAGTTATCAATAAAGTAAAGGAAAATATTTCTGTAATAAAAAAGAAATATCAAAAATAGAAATGATAATAATAAAAAAAAGAGCCCAGTATAACTTCTAGAACTAAAAAATATTATTTCTGAGTTTAAGAAAAAACCCTGAATGGAGTTAAAAGTGAAAAAGAGACAACCAAGAAACAAAGAATTTGAAGATAGAATAACTAAGATCAAAATGGACCAAAGGTCTAAGTGTTAAAACAGAAAAACTTAACCTGCTGGAATATAAAATAGGTGAAACTTTTGAAGTCATAGGCATAGACAGAATCCAAAATACACAAAAGACAACAGCAAGGATTAACAAATAGGGTCATATCAAATTTAAAGGCTCCTGAACAGCAAAGGAAACAACCAATAGAGTGAAGAGACAACCTTCTGAATGGGAGAAAAATTTGTCAGCTATTCCTCCTATGGCTAACATCTAGAATATATAAAGAACTCAAAAAATTAGACCCCCCCCCCAGTAAAAGGCGTACTCAACAAATGAAAAACCAAAATAATAGATACTTCTCAGAAAAAGTAAAAATAGCCAATGCCTATGTGAAAAAATGTTCAGCCTCACTGGCCATTGAGAAATGCAAATTAAAACAGCATGACGTACCATCTCACTCCAGAAAGAATGGCTATCATCAAGAAATGAAAGAGGCTTTAGGGA